ACTGCTCGGATGCCTGTTCAACTGCTCGGATACTCGCTTCAATAGTTCGGCTCCCAGTTAAACTGGTCGGACACTTGTTCCTGATGATCAGCAGCAAGTTGGACAGCTCGGACAAGCTCAAGACGGTGTTGCTCAACGGATACTAGGTGCTTGGGAACTAGCTGTGAGGGTATGACCTTCGGTACCCATAGGACAAGACAAGGCGTGCGGCGCACGGCACTGGTCGGTGTGCACCGTAAGGCTACAATAAGATATTGTAATACCAAATAGGATATTTTCTTATAACCCTACTCCTGCAAAGTATATAAGGAGGAACAGGGGTCCCTTAAACGGCAGATATGATCATATGCAATGCAACCCATCGAAAGACACAGGACGTAGAGTATTACGTCAAGTCGACAGCCTGAACCTGCCTAATCGCTGTCTCTTGCGTTCTGTGTCACCGTTCGGTTTCTTCACACACATCTCTACCAATTCATCTACTACTATAAATATATCATCGGTGGACTGCCAGACATATCTCGTCGACGATACCCCATCCGTAGATACAGTCATACAGATAGCAAGATCGGCGAGAACTGCCACGCTAGTAGCACAGTACTCCGTATCCGTGAATTCTGTTTCCTCGCACACCACAACAGCTGTGTGCTATGGTTCAACAAAAATTAGGCTACCACTGCGATTGTGTCTTTGTGTATGTAAATGGATGAATAGTAGTTAGGAAACTACTAAAATAGAATCTCTAGCGGTAGATTGTGTACAGTATATGGTTACAGTAGGGATTCTTCTTTTATTTATGTACTGTATGTGTACCCATAAGAGAGATCTACCAAGATCTCGGGCCGCACTAGATCCGGGAAGGACATGGTCCACCGCTCAGGAGTGGGGCCAGCAACCGCTAGGCCCACGCAGAGCGAGATGCTAGTACCGGTCCGGGCCCATCATCTGCGCCGCTGTAGCGTTGACACGTCGTCAGCTTTCTGCTCGCGCGGCAGAGGGCGACCCGGCGGGCCCCGCAGTTCTGTCGCGATAAGGTTTGCTGGTGGGTTGAGGTTGATGGGCCACAGAGGCGGCGCAGCTTGGTGGGGTCACCGGGCCACCGGGGGCCCGGGTCGCGTGCCTCCGTGGGCCCGTTCCCGTGGCTCTCTCCGGCGGTCCGGCCGGTCGCCGCTGTGAAATGTGGTGGCCTTACGGCGTGATTGACTGCTTTGGTGAGGGGAAATCGGGACAGAGAGTTGCTGCACGATGGTGAGATATATGTTTAAATCATGTACTCAGTCGTGTTTGATTGTTTTTGTTGTTGGTTCAGTATGAGATGATATTATGTTTTGTTGCATGTATGGATGTGAGTTTTGACTTTTGAGTGTATAACATATGGGTTCTGGCCCATGCGTTGTACCACACCATCCCGGCTCGTATGGGAAGCCCGATTTCTGCGTACGCTGCGAGCCTGTAACAGGGGCCTCAAATGCACGGTCTGGTGCATCGATTTCGTTGGGCACAGGGAACCAAACACACAGAGAGTGCATGACATGGTGCCAGACGACGGTTTGGACGGCTCCATCAGGTCTACCAATCACGCCTTTAGCATACGCACCCCTGCGGTCTGCCGTAGCGTGTAGGAGTAGAGTAGGAGCGTAGTCCCAAGGCAAGCAGGGACAAAAATAGAGCAAGCTATAAACAAATTTTCACCTTGTTCGCTTGAACTACTTTTCAACAAATAAATAGTATTTTTCTCTCATAATAAATCAGCACAAACATCAGCATAAGCGAAATCCAGGCATCAGTTGGTCCAGACGCATGATTAAACGCCTCCCGAACGGAAATCAAGGGTCGAATGCTCTCAAATCAAAGAAAAAGAAAAGAAACTGAAGCTGGGGCCTTGTTTAGATTGGGGTTAGGAATCAGTATTTAGCACTGTAGTACTTTCGTTTGTATTTGACAATTATTGTCCAATCATGACCTAACTAGGCTCAAAAGATTCGTCTCGTAATTTACAATCAAACTGTATAATTAGTTATTTTTTTATCTACATTTAATACTCCATACATGTGTTAAAGATTTGATGTGAGAGAGGGAGTGAAAAAACTTACAATCTAAACGAGGGCTGGAATGAAATATCCAATGCTCTATCAGTGGAAGGGCAGGACAAAAATCCAAGCGACGCATAACGGCCGATTCGTAGCATAGGATACGAGAAACCAACTTGGGCCCATTTAGTTCGCTGGCAGATTTGGCGCCGCCGGAATCTGTAATCATGGAGCGTACTGTAGCATTTCGTTTGTATTTGGTAATAATTGTTTAATCGTTGATTAATTAGACTCTAAAACGTTTGTCTCGTAAAGTACAACCAAACTGTGCAATTAGTTTTTTATTTCGTCAACATTTAGTACTCCATATATGTACCATAAGTTTAATGCGATAGAAAATCTTTTTTTTATATAGTGCTAAATTTGAGAATCGGTGGAACTAAACGAGGGTCTGTGCTTCTCTTCTGCTAGCCCCTAGCTAGAATATCGGCGAGGTCGCAGGTGGACTGGCGTGCGGCCGCCGTCTCAGCTGACTCGATCGTGTCCCGGCCGGCCACCCCCTGCTATACGACATCGCTGGTTGGAGTGGAGAAGCGCGTCGCCTCCTGGTGCATGCGTAGCTTAGCACGGCACCTCCGCACCTGCTGCACTTGGGCAATCGGATCGTGTTTCTGGCCGTGTTCGTCGCGCCTGTCCTCCTCGCGCGGTTGGAAATCATGCCGCGCGTAGGAGACTAAGGCCCTGTTTGGGAACGCTTATCTCACAATCGATTTTAATTTGATCAGGATTTTTTGATAAGCTGCGACGAAAAGAATCTGCTGTCTAAACAATCGAGGGTGTTTGGCAATCCTGATTATTGCCCTTAGATTGTATGTCCTGAGTGCAAAATGACATGTATGCCCCTGAGGCTGATGACACCTCATTTGTTCACTGAATACGAGCTGAAAACAGTTATGGTACTAATTTTTTGTGTTTCCATAATATAGTTTGTGACAATAACTAATGTGTAGGCAACATGAAATTAACAAAAGTTTGGACAAATTGAGATCGATACAACAGTTAATCAACCAACCATAGCCGTGGCTATAGCATCACGCAAAGCACTCATATCCATATCATCTCCAGAAGCACTTCCTTCACCTGAGCTGGATTCGGGTCCATCTGTACCTTCTTCTTGGATAATTGATTGAAAGTGAGCATCATTTATGGAATTGTCTCTAATGAAATTGTGAAGGGCCATACAAGCAACTATAATTTTTGATTGCTTGTTCACTGAATATTTGGGCATCTTCAAGAGAATGCGCCATTTCATCTTTAGGACTCCAAATGACCTCTCAATCACGTTTCTCAAACTTGAATGCGCATTATTGAACACCTCCTTGAATCCCACTGGAGTACGACCATGTTGCCATTCAGAAACATGGTACCTTTGTCCCTTGTATGGTGCAAGATATCCTTTTTTATTAGGATATCCTGAATCGACGAGATAATACTTTCCTACATTTTGTAATTGTAGGTTACTTAACACCTCATATCCTTGTCAATTGCAAAAAAATGATTTGAGTCCAAAAGATACATACCTTCGGGAGGGTGTGGGAATTGTTGCTTGTATGTGACTAGAGTATCCAATAAGACACGACTGTCATGCACAGATCCGGGCCAACCAGTGACAACAAATATGAACCGCATATCAAAGTCACAGACCGCCATTACATTTTGCGAAGCATAACCATGACGGCCAATGTATTTAGGTTGCTCATGCAATGGAACAGTTACTGGTATATGTGTGCCATCGATTGCACCAATGCAATCTTTGAAATGAGGCCAAAACCTAGCTTCTTGTAGCTTAGGATGTATAGAACTAAAATGTGGATATGTAGGCCTCACAATGTAAAAAGCCAACTGCATGACACACTTAAGTACCTCTGTAAATTTCCTGCTAATAGTTTCTAATGAGTGGGTGAACTTGTTCTTCACTTGCCTAAATGATTGAGGTGCACCACATGCCCACAAAAACATTGCTAAGGCTTCCTTCGTACACATTCCTCTACTTGCTTTGAAGCCATAATTTTCTACCAAGGTGTCATGAAGGTGTAGGAAAACTGACCTTCTCATTCTGAACATGTTATAGCATTCAGTTGGATTTTGGAGTGTGATCTCAACCCACTGGATTCCAGTCATAGTTGGAATTGTCATAGGAATTTCAGCTTTCTTTCTACCTGTACTACCCATGCACTCCAAAGCAATGTATGCCACCATAAAGTCATCATCATCTGAGTCAATTTCACTAGAAGCACTAGATGTACTCATAATTATCTGTGACACAAAAAGATCCACCAATTAGATATTTTCTCACATCCAACGCTTTGTAGATTGCAAATTGATTATGGTACAGTTGACATAAAGCATACTCCCACCTATCGTCTAATATGCTTCTAAGAACTTGAACATTAATTAAACAGGGAATATGTCTTACCTCTGCAAGAATAGGCCTTGGAACCTTCTGGCATGTCAAGGAAAGTACATGAATCGCATAGGATTGGATTGCCTGTTCAAAACCTGCACATGTAGAGTCACGACAGTAAAGACATAGGTTAAAATGCATATCACCTGGCCCAAAATAACATAAGAAAACTTAATGATTAGGAGAATAGAAGATATCAAACACTAGGTGACAGAACAAGGGAGGTACACAAAATAGTTAACTTGGACACAAATACGCAATGTAACACTTCAGTCAACCCCAATGACAAAAAGCACGTGCACCCAAGTCTGGAGACTGGAACAGACTGGGCATAGTCTCACATTACAATATGTAACAGACTGGGCATAGTCTCACACAACGAATTGGAAAATAGCAATAGTCCCACACAAGGAATTGGAAAAAATAGCAATAGTCTCACACAAGGAATTGGAAAAAATAGCAGTAGTCTAACATGATCAATGACATGTGACTGCCTCAATCTAACACTAATTCTTGTTCTTGTCTTCCCATGCCCTTCGCAGCCATCCTAACCTCCCACTAGGTGTCTTCAAAGTACTAAACATGTCACGATACTCCTTCTTCATAAGTAGTTGTGTGGCATAGTAGTGCTCATCACTCCCTTCCTCAGCACCATCCTCAATGACTTGATCAATCATTTTAGTAACCTCATCTCTAACATGATCAATGACATGTGAAGTGGCTGACTGTTTACTACTTTGTGTCTTCTTCTCATATGCATCCACTAAACGCTTCATGCATTGATCTCTAAAAGTCTTCTTCTTCTTTTCCGGAGGTGAAATTGGGGCTGGTCTTTTTTGACCCCGTTTGTCTGAAGTGGGTGTGACCTTTGGTGTCACACCATCCTCACTGATAGCATCAGCAGCATCCTCACTTTGACATGTTTGGAGAGCATCACTACCACCAACAGGAACATATGAAGTCTCATTAGTAACACTAATTGCATCAAACATGATCCGCTGCTGGTCCTCATGCTCAAGTGGGTTATCTCTGAATGTTATACAACCTGACATAGCCTGAAAAGTAAATGAAAAAAAATTAGCTGTTTTCAGAGAAAACATAACAACTTGCATATGAGAAAAATACTTGTGGATTGTATGCTCACCGCATTTTGCTCCGCCCACCATTCATCAAAAGCCACAATACAACCAGTGTTAGGATTCCTCCCTAATCCAGTAGCTCTCATGTTCAAAGTTTTCCATTGGTTATATTTATTCTTCATTGTATCCCATCTATTCTTCATTTGTGACTCATTATAAGGCCTCTTGGTACGTTCGAAGAACTTTCGGACTAGATTTGCATAGCCTAGACTATTCAAACAATGTCCAGGCCTATTGTGGGCAAGAACTTCTTCCACACAAATGTCATTGAAGGCCTTAGCAGAAAAAGCATCCCATTTTGCCCGAACTTTTGCTTTGACTTGTCCATTTCAAATCTCTGAGACTAATAAATATATAAAACACAAGCATTCAAACATTATATTTGAAGAAAAATTCTAACCAAAGCAATGCGGCTCCAATTCCTAAAACAAAAGCATTCAACATCCGCATGCAGACATATCCCTAGCCATGGTACTCATCTAGTAACATACTAGTATATAGTAGTATACTACTGAAACGGGACCAATTGGCAAAACATTGCTCGATCTAGAGAGCCATATTAATAGCATAAAATAGAACAAAACTAGCATTGGATCGGAGAAGCTTTGCATGCATGCATGGTTCTTCTTTGCAAGATCCCATTATTATATATATTCACGCTTATTAATATAAGTCTTAAGGAGCCAATAAACAAGTCGTTGAGTGCGTACATGCATGGGGTGGCTGGTGTTCTAGCTAGTGCCTCGAGTCTGAGGCGCCGCTTGGCAAATTCATCCACCGATCGGTAGCTAGCTATGCGGGCCAAAAGCCAAAAAGTGACAACAAAAGCGGTAGGACATCTCTAAAGTCTCGATTTAATTTCGAACCCCGATCGATCGAATGAATCCAGATATGTAGCTTCCTTCTCCATGTCCCCTAGCGGGCGGTGGTGATATGATCCCTGACTAGCCACCGTTTTGGACTTAACGCAATGCAAGCACTCTCTTTGTGACTATAATTCGTCCTTTTGCAATACAAATCAAAGCAATCCATAGATCGGGTATGAAGAAAAGTACCTCAACAAATCAAGGGAACCGGGACGGGGATCGTGAGCGAAGCGGAACACCTTGATCGGAGAGAGGAGGAAAGGGCGACGGGGAGCCGGCCTCCACCGACCGAAAAACATTGGGGTGCCTCCGGAGAAGATGACGGGATAGGGAGCGGGGGGCGGGCGCGAGTGGAGGAGGGGCGGCGCGAGTGGAGGACAGGAGGCGGGAGGGCGGCGCGAGTGGAGGGGAAGGGTGGCGCGAGTGGAAGCGGCGGCGTGAACCCTAGCGAGCGAGAGTTGCTAGTGGAGGGGAGCGGACGGGAGATGGACGGGTGAGCGGAGGGGCAGAGGGTGGAAAAAGAGTTGCGGTGTGGGAAACGCAGTCGCTCGCTCGCGGCCCTCAAAACGCCGGTACAAGTTCATTTAGGATTGTTTTCACCTCCCCGATGGTTACATAATCTAAAATAAGCGAGGGTGTTTGGGTGGGATTCTCGATTCTTTTCACCTCGATTCCGATTATAAGCTAAAACAAACACGCCCTAAGTATTGTAGGAGACTACTGTAGTTTCAACTCTGAAGCAGCATGTGGTCTGTGCTGTTCTGCTGCATACAGTGCATGTTTGATTGTTCGTCACGGTTGAAAATGTAACGTCCCGACCCGAAAAGATGGGTAAGGTCTACTCTACACGTAAAATAAACTGTACTTATTAATTAACTCTGTTATATTTTGATCCTTGCTTCGCGTAAAAAGATGGATCTAGAGCTAACACCCTCGGGTCCAGCCTTTCAAGCCGGTCTCTGGTTCCATTTCCGGTACCGGACTAAACTGGAAACACTGTACCAACTACAATGTCCCGGTGCTACAGTACCACGGATTTGGTCTGGCCGAACTGGCCCATGGCTGGGGTTTCACAGAAAACGAAAGCATGTTAGGTACTGTAAAAGTACTGTATAAGACAACAATGACGCGCGTACCGCGTACGTAAAGATAGTACTAGGAACACAGTGAGTAGTAAGTCAACAGGTATGCAGTACCAGTACTAAGACGGTGTTTAGTTGTCCCTCCTAAATTTTAGTCCCTGTCTCATCGGATATTTGGACACTAGACTAATTACGAAACTAATTGCATAGTTTGTGACTAATTTGCGAGACGAATCTTTTAAGCCTAATTAGTCTATGATTTGACAATGCAGTGCTACAGTAAACATATGGTAATGACGGATTAATTATGCTTAAAAAATTTGTCTAGTAAGGTACTAACGGATTATGTAGTTTATTTTTTTATTAGTATCAAATACCCCTTAAAATATCCTCCCAACATACCAACGTCCCAATCGATCCATCCATCCATCCAGGCCACAGAAAGCTCCATGATTGAGATTAGGGGAAACGCCGCGTCTCCAGCCTGACGATCCGCGCCGTGCCGCCGTCCAATCAGACCGGAAAGAGCGATCGCACGGTCGCCATCCATCACACCAGGATCTTATCGCGGCCGTCACGGCCTCACGGACACCACACCCTTCGCGTTCGGACCAAAGCCCCCCACCGTTTTGTCACCGCACCATGCCACGCCCACCAACGACAACGACGGCGGAGTAGGCCCGTTTGGATTTTGGATCACATTAACAACTCGTTAGTCTAAGTAAAATTTAGAGACAGAGAGAAAATAAATCTCTACTCCCTTCGGTTCAAAATAAATAACATTTTAGCTATGAGTCATAACTAGTTTGTCTAGATTCATAGCTAAAGTGAAAAATCTATTGATGCAGAAATTTTAATTCCTAAATAAACTTTTAAAAAAATCATAGCTAAAGCTCAAAATCTAGTTTGTCCTCTTGTTAAACTTTTCTAAGTTTGTTTGACTCTATATATATATATATAAATCACTATTAATATTTGTATCTTTAAATAAGTTTATTATGAAAATATACTTAATGATATTTATTATGCTTCATAAATATTAGTGTTTTAAATATATCTGACTAAAAAATTTAGAAGTTTGATCCTTAAGGAATGGTACCAAGATACTTATTACTATATCCATCCCATCATAAATCAATTTCTTGAGTTATCTTTTAAGTAAAATTCCTTAAAGTTTTATGGAATTTATAAAGAAAAGAGTGCCAAGATTTATGACACCAAATTAGTGTCATTAGATACACCATAAACTATATTTTTCTAATATGTTTATTTGATGTCATAAAGATTTATGTATTTCTATAGTTTTGATCAAATGTGAAAAAGATTATTAAGGCAACTTTATAATTTTATTTATTTAGGAGGGGAGGAATATTTTGAAATTGAGCAAGTTGTATAAAACTTACCCTTTGTATCGACTTACTGGGAAGTGCTCTGTCCGTCCTAAAATAATTGCACTTTTATGATTCAAAAACTTGTCCCATAATAAAAACATTTTTTTTTGCTTATGGACGATTTAGATGCTAGAAAACCTTAGTACATATTTTGATAAGGGCATATATGGATTTCACACTACTTGATCTTTCCCACATACTTTAGAAGTACATTTATTTTGGGATAGAGAGAGAAGACTAGGCATCGATGTCATTGGTTGTTTCACTAACGCTGATTGCTCCAAGTGCGGGCTCACAACGTCCTCCTGTGTGCTGCCACTTCGCTAATTGATCATGCACCTGGGCCTAGGCTCTCGGGCAAAGGTTGTTGTCAGTGGCGGAGCTCGACCAGAAATTTAGGTGGGTTCAAACTATGGACACAAATTTTTAATCACATCAAATTTTTAATCGGCATATCCCATGTGCAGTGGCGAAACCACGGGCCACGCCCCCCCCCCCCTCTCCCACACACACATAGAAGAAATTTTTTAATACCCTTAAAAATATTTTAATTTACAGCGCATCAAGCCATCATTTCGCCTATTTTTTATCATAATGTTATGATTTTTCGTTATGAATACTAACTACGTATGTAAAAATATTAAAATGCTATTGAGACATACATTTATGTATATGTTTATTATATTTAGAGGTGTCATCATATTTGTTCGGCCTTCTTTAATCAAAATTGATGGTTCCGCAACTGTCCATATGCATCTTTTTTTTCACGCATCCTTTCCCCCGAAATATATTAAGCGTTTTAGCCCTAGTAATGACAAATGATATCTATCCCACGAAATCGCGAAACAGATGCACAACATGTGCATCAGTGATCGGTCTGCGCCTACGGTCCGGACCCTGTCCGATCGAGAGTAGCGACCACGTAAACGATGTGAAGAGGCATGTGTTCCCGATGCACCGGTGTTCTCTCTGTCTGGTCTCTACACTACTGTCGGTCCACCGCAGTTGGGTTCTCCATTGTTGGATCCATGACATAGAGGAAGAGAGGTGAGGGGAGGATGCCTAACCATCGTCCACGAATGACTAAGGGCACCCACAATGGCTGACTCTTGAACTAGCTCTAAGCATTTTTTCATATTTTAAAAGAAGAGAGAGAAAAGTTAACTATTGATCAAAAGTTAAGCTCTTGCACATATTTCAAGGTTACGTGAGAGTGTCATGTGGGGCTATCCATATTAAAAACTATGCGCTACAAGTTAGCACTATTTGTTGTTCTAGGCCGAAGGCCTTTGAACAATGGTTGCACAAGCGAAATCAAGCACGAAAGATGACGAACACCAGACACAAGCGAAATAAGTAGATTGCTTATACTGCGCTTTCTCCTCCTTTTACAATCCCACGGCCAGGGCTATTTATACACACCCGTAGGCTTTTCAGGGACACATGCCCTTACAACTACTGCAGATTCGAAAGATATTCCCCGTCGCCCGGGGCATGCTCGCCAACCGGAGCTTCCGCCGTCCTTGGTCAGCACCTGCCCGAGGCGACCTGACCGGCCATGGGCGCGATGTCGCCCCACTGACCGACAAGGTGGCCCCCCGGCCGACAGAACACGTGCGGCGAATGGCTCCTCCAATGGCGAAACTTGCAAATGAACGGACGAGTAAATGATAAGGACCTATTCGTCCGAGCGAATGGTTCCGCATTGTGCTGAGTCCGACGTCGCTGCCTATTTCGCTCTAGCGAAAAGGTGTGATCCAAAACGGATGTTGTTTTGCCTGGACGAGACACGGGCTTGCGCGAC